GTTGTTACCAATTAGACCCGAAGATTTTAGTCTGCTTGGTTTTAAGTTTCTTGATAAATATTATGTAGACAAATGTTTACCTATGGGTTGTGCCATATCGTGTGCTTTGTTTGAAAAATTTTCCAGTTTTTTACAATGGGTGGTAGAGTATAACACCAACTTGAAAAATATTGTTCATTACTTAGATGATTTTTTATTTGCTGGAGCTCATGGAACAAACAATTGTAAATATATGATGGATTCTTTTCAAAATATCTGTAAAAGATTAGGTGTTCCTCTTTCAGAGGAAAAAACTGAAGGTCCAACAACATATATAGTGTTCTTAGGTTTAGGTATAGACTCAGTTAATCAGTCAATTTTCATTCCAAAGGATAAAGTAGAATCTTTACAAAAAGAAATACTTGAAATTCAAGGGAAATCTAAGATTACATTAAGGCAGCTTCAGTCTTTAGCTGGCTCATTAGCTTTTATTACAAAGGCCTTGCCAGCAGGTAGAGCATTTACATGCCGCTTATATGGTTTAATGTCTGGTGTTTCTAAGCCACATCACTTTGTACGACTTTCCAAAGAAATACATAGTGACCTCCAAATGTGGTTAACATTTCTTGATGAATTTAATGGAACAACAAAATTTCCAGAATTGGAATGGGAATCTGACAAAAATGTACAATTTTATTCAGATAGCTCAGGTTCAGTGGGTTGTGGTGTGGTTTTTGGTACTTCCTGGTCTTATCTCTGTTGGCCACAGGAGTGGAATGTTGATATAAGAAAAGACATCACTTTTTTAGAGTTTGTTCCTATAGTTTTAGGATTTTACTTGTGGTCAGACAAATTACAAAATAAGAAATTAATATTGCATGCTGACAATATAGCTTTGGTTGAAATCTTGAATCGGAAAACATCTAAGAATACAAGGGTAATGATTTTGATGAGAGAATTAGTATTGCTTTCTTTGAAGTTTAATATTCCGTTTAAAGCAGTTCATGTAAGAGGTTGTATAAATGAGATAGCAGATTCAATTTCTCGATTGCAGTGGAACAGATTCAGGCAGTTAGCACCATGGGCAGATTGCCATCCTTATCAAGTACCTATTCAATTTTGGAACCTTTTGAAGGGCATGTCAATCATTTAATAGAAGCTAGCCTCTCCAACAACACAAAAATTGCATATGACAAAGCCATGGTTGTATTTAATGACTTCAGATTACAATTTAATTTGCCTCTATCTTGGCCACCTCCAGTAGATCATGTAATCAATTTTGTGGCTTTTCTAGCATCAAAAAATCTTTCTCATTCTACAGCTAATGTATATTTATCAGCCCTGAGTCACAGTTTGCAAGTGCACGGATTGGACAATCCAGTCAAATCTTTCATTGTGCAAAAAATGTTAACAGGTTTAAGAAGATCTAAGCCTACAAAGGACATCAGAAGTCCTGTAACATATCAGCTTTTACTAAAAATTTTGGATGTTTTACCTATGGTTACACATTCAAAATATGAGCACTTCTTATTTGGGTCTACATTTGCAACTGCATTTTTTGGTCTTCTTAGAATAAGTGAAATGGCAGTAGCATCAAATAAGAGTCGAAGAAATGTACTTCACCTTTCAGATTTACAGTTAAGTAATGAAAATATCAAATTAAAGTTGCGTTTTTCTAAAACAGATCAGAGTGGAAAAGGTTTAGTCATTACTATCAGCAAATCAGTAGAGTCAACAGTGTGTTTTAATTTATTAGAAACTTTCTTGCAATTCAGATCTCTGGTGGATGGCCCTCTATTTTGTCATATCAATGGTACACCATTATCGGCATACCAGTTTTCAAGTGTATTACACAAAGCATTGAGATTTTTAGGTATTGAAACAAAAACTTTCAAAACGCACTCTTTTAGAATAGGAGCTGCTACTCACATGTATTTGTCGGGCATATCTGAACAAGAAATTCAAAGAAAGGGAAGATGGGTGTCAGATGCATATAAGCATTATCTCAGACCTAAGTTGATTACATTTTAGATGCAAATAATGCTATTATGATGGTTACATCATTGTCATATTGTTGTTAACCTGATATCAAAATTATAATTGGAGTTGGATTCATTTGATTGCTGTTTTCAAGTGCATAATTATGTAGATTGTAATCATTGCTTATGTATTGTTCATAAATCTTGTAGATTCAATCTGGATTGTGGGATCATCCCTTATTAAAAGAGCAGAACAATTTTCTTTGAGTTCTCCGGAATTTGGCACAGACCTTTCTTTACCAGGGGTAAAAATGTTATGGAAGGGAATACCAGGGTTGAGTTTTGCCAAATTCTCTGAGGTCATTTCTGACCTGTCCTCTACAAAGCCACATCCGAGGTTTCTTGTTATCCATGTAGGTGGTAGTGACATTGCCAAACTTAATAACCCATTACGAAGACAACAAAAATTTATGAAAACTGTTATCAACAAGTTGAGTTTGGTTATGCCTTTGACATGCATTGTCTGGTCACATATTTTGCCCAGGGTATATTGGCGTCATTCAATTTCAAATGTTGCTGCAGAGAAATCAAGATCTAGGATTAATAGTTCTATTGCTAGCTTTGTTTTAAAGTCAGGTGGTGCTTCAATTAAGTACCCTGACATCAGTATTGTTCAAAGTAAACTCTTTCTTAATGATGGAGTTCACTTATCTCCCTTAGGTAATTATGTCTTTTTGTCAACAATGCAGGCTGCTCTTAGGCAATTTTGCTCTGGTAATGGTTTTGTTTATCCATCAAAGTGAACAGTGCATTATTTTGGAATTGGAACTGTTGTGGCTTTATGAAGATGTTATGAAATAATTTGTGTGTAATTTGTGAATGGTATATTTTACCTGTGGTCAAAATTCAGCCGCTTTGATGGCGGTTGGATTTCATTATGCTTGAAATCCAATTGGCGCAATTTTGACAAGTAACCATTTGCTGAGGGATACTGTTGTCTCCAGGTCCCCCAGCTCTGATATGGTTTGTTTAATATTTGTGAATGCTATGCTGCCAAAAGCTTACAAGTGGTAAGATCGGCGCATAGGGCATGAACATGCGAGTGGCATGTTAACTGTGAATGTAATTTGTAATAAAAAGCCATGACAGTTCCGCCAATATGAGTTGTATTATTCTTCCAAATTCTACAAGGTACATTTATGAAGTGTCTTGCATAAGAAAAATTCAAAAGCTGAGGTTATCAACCTTTAATAAAGTGTTCTTATTAGTGTTAGGAATTTCGAAATAATCAGATTTATCCCTAAAAGATAAATACAGTTATTGAGAATGACGCTTATTGCTTTCTATTTTGAAATTACGTATTGCTTACAAAGAGCAACCCGTTTTCCGGAATTATATGGTCCTATCATGACGATTCTATGGTTAATAATACATCAGTATTAATGAGCATGCGCTAGGTCTTTTCAACTCCCCATCTTGTTCAGAGCAGACGAAATCCCCTCCCTTCCCTCCCTTAAATATTATGGTTGGTTTGAGTTTTTAAATTTATTAAATAAATGTTTTTGGTTCCTTTTCTGCTGTGTGCTTTCTTTCAATTTCAGAAATCGTCATGGCTTATATACTGATGAAGAATACTGTGGACTTCGCTGTGAATGTGATAATCCTGACTGTTTTGTGTTAGCGCAATTTTGACAAGTAACCATTTGCTGAGGGATACTGTTGTCTCCAGGTCCCCCAGCTCTGATATGGTTTGTTTAATATTTGTGAATGCTATGCTGCCAAAAGCTTACAAGTGGTAAGATCGGCGCATAGGGCATGAACATGCGAGTGGCATGTTAACTGTGAATGTAATTTGTAATAAAAAGCCATGACAGTTCCGCCAATATGAGTTGTATTATTCTTCCAAATTCTACAAGGTACATTTATGAAGTGTCTTGCATAAGAAAAATTCAAAAGCTGAGGTTATCAACCTTTAATAAAGTGTTCTTATTAGTGTTAGGAATTTCGAAATAATGCCTATTTAACAGATGGCAAAGGGAGAGTGACTCTAATTTTTCAGAATTTTTGTAAAAATTCATAGATAAGCAATAAAATGAGTTCAAACCATAACATCAAAAATCATTCTTTTAATTTTATAAAAAACATTAAGGGATACAGCCTTCAATATGCACGAATGCATGTGATTAGATATACATTTACTTTACTTATACATAAGTTTTGTCTATCATTTTATTGTTTTCATTTAACTTGAAATAAACACAAGATTTAAAAAAAGGAAATTCACAATTACTATGTAAATACCAAGAAATCCAAAATGGTTCTAAAGCCTGCTGCAGCAATTCTGCAAATTTAAATTGCCATTACTGCAATCTGTCAAATAAATAAACTAAGAGTCCTTGAACCTTGATGCCAATTTTTGCCCCCCTCCCGCCCCCCCCCCCCCCCTCTTGTTTCCAAACATAACCTTTTACTGTTGAAGACTGGTCCCCCCCCCCCCCCCCGCACACACACACACACACACACACACTTTTTGTTGCAGTATAGTGAAAATAATGTGGTTATGTATTTAGAAAATTTAGTTGTGAAAGAAGGTGGTACATCTATCACCCCCCCCCCCCCCCCAACAAGAAATAGGATTTTCTGATTTTTTTTCTTTTTTGGTCAAAGAATTTTTTCTGGCCAATCCCCCTCCCCTTTCAAAAGCGATACTACGTTCCTGTTTTGCCATGTCACACATCTAACATCTTAGCTTTTGTGTTCCATGCAGTCACGGAGGCAGAAGGATAATGAATTAATTTGTTTTCTCAGTCTGTAAACAGATTTATGTATCACGAATAATTCTTTTCTTCATAATTGGGTTCTTTTTTGTATTACATTTAGATTTTGTGTTATCTTACATTCAGTATACGTAATTGCCTTAATTTTCACTATAATAGCGCCCACATTTGCAGTGTTTGGCACTTGTTGGCTTCCGTATTGATTATTAAAAGGAAGAATTTTGTCTAAGCTACTGATGTGTAAAAGGCTTAGATTACCTTCCAGTACAGTAAAGTTAGTATTCTCTATTTGTGCTGAGGCACAGACGTTTGGGAAATACTTGTAAGATCATGGAAATGGCAGAAATGAATTTTGACCAAAGCTATTTAAGATCTAGCCTGATCACCAGAGCACCGTATACAACGCTGTCTAAACTTCTACAAAAGTGGGCAACCATAAAACCAAAACACGAAGCATGTGTTTTCTACACCTTTGGCAAACCAATAACTTCCATCACCTATGAAAAACTGTACCAGGATGCAGTAATGCTGGCAAAAGGGCTTCTTAAGCTTGGGATACACAAGGGCGACATAATAGGAATAGGTGGAAACAATACTATAGAATGGCTGGTGAGTACCTTTGGTGCACAACTCGCTGGGGCACGTCCCGTACACTTCAACTTTCACGACAAATCTGGAGAGAGCTTGAAAAGAATTATCAGCCAAGTCGGAGGATGTAAAATGCTCATTTTTGATCCGGGAGATAACGACGTTCATTGGGAAATATGTCAGAAATTCCTGCAAGTTGATTCAAAAACTGGTGTTGTTGTCGATTCCGACACACCATCAGTAAAATGGGTCGCATTACAAACGCCTCTGGAATCCTCTAAGGTATGTTTTACAATTGAAGACGTATTCAGCAAAGAGAATATCAAGCTACCGGAAGTAGACCCAGATGACACAGGTGTTATTATTCTGACATCCGGGAGTACAGGGTTTCCAAAAGCTGTAGAATATAGTCATTATCGTTTAATTGAAACTGCATATAATTTCCTGCATGTAGTTGGCTGGGATGTCAAAGAAGATGAGCAGTTTTCGTTCTACGATGATCGGCCATTTTACTGGATAGGGGGGTACCCGTTTTATGCCCTTGTAATAGGAGGGAAACGTATAACCCTAGCCAACACACTTGCTTTCCCAACTATAGCAGAAACTATGAAATACACTTCAAGTATTATAGAGAAAGCAAAGCCCAAAATCGCCCTTATTCTTGTTCCTTTCCTTTTGGAGTTACTGATGTCAAAAGATTATTCTTGGAAAATTCGAACAGTGATCACAGGGGGTCAGCCTGTTCCAGCTTCGTGCCTGGAAGCCATCGGGAAAAGGTACGATACCCTTTCAGTTCTGTACGGCTCGACAGAAGCAGCTTTTATAGGTGGGAGGATGTATAGTTCGCCTAATGACAAATATATTGGTCTATCGCCGTTCCCTGGGGTGGAACTGAAAATTGTAGGGAAGGATGGAATGATGGTTCCAATTGGAACGAAAGGCGAGCTGCTATCGCGCACTTGTTTACCATTTCCAGGTTACATCAATGAAGCAGAAAAAACCGCGGCTGTTATCACTCCTTCTGGTTGGTATAAAACAGACGATTTCGGACATATTAATTCTGCTGGTTGCCTTGAAATATTTGGCAGAGTGTCTGACGTGATGGAAATCTCTGGAGCTAAGGTTCTACCATCCTATCTCGAAGAAATTATCAAAAGAAATTCCAATGTTAAGGAAGTGGTGGTCTTTTCCATAAAAGATGAAATACACTGTGACGACATTCCCTGTGCAGCTGTTGTTAAAAAGGACGGGGTGACCTTGACTGAGGAATCCCTAAAGGATTTTATCAAACAAGAGTTCAATCTTTCTGAGGAGGCCAGGTTCATGGAACATATTTATGTTCCGAAGTACATTGTGTTTCAAGAGAAGCTACCAAAAACTGCCACAGGAAAAAGCGATAGGAAGATGACGAAGAATGTTTCTCTACCATTCATCAAACAAGCCTGAATGTATTATGCAGAGTTTGTTAAAAAATATGTCAACTTTCGTATTTTAACAAAGTAATGGGATATAATTTATCTGGCAATTGCTTTTAACACGTTAATATGTATGATATCTATAACAAGAAGAACACTGGGAATACCCTACATGTTTGTCTTATTTACTTATAATCAGACCTGTCAAAAAATTATTAAAGTTGATAATCAATTTCAAAATGTGAAAAGAAAGGAAAATTGTATTTACCTAGCTCTCGTATCTGTACAAATTTATAAATGTATACGTAAATAGTAATATTCCACTGTCATCTTATATGCATTAATAGTTTTTTTTTCTCCAAACCGATTCCATAGGCAATAGCATGCTCTGAGTTCAATGAAATCTACTGACAAATAAGCTGATGTTACAGGACTTTCAACAACCACTTTTGCAGTCAGAATTTTGCAAATTATATGGTCATTATAATGCAAATCGTTGGGTCGTATTCTACAAACTTGTGTTAGGTTTTTAGACAAGAAGGTGTTCTTTTCGTATTTCTATTTTGTGTATTTATCATGCAATGAATTGTTAAATTTAAAGTACTGAACACAATTTTTATAATGTAAAATCAACAAATCTAACACTAACTGAGTGCAAATTCGAGCTACTGCTTTACAAAAAAAAATGTTAGATTGTGCCTATGTCTATGCCATGCTTATTGCGTTTCTGTTTTAATGTTAAACAATCCAGTATCGTCATATTTGGTCTCCACAGCACATGTTCAGGAATCCTGGGATACTATAGGAAATGAATTTATTCCTTTGAATGATAATTACAAATCTCAATTTAAATCTTTATAGAGAGGACATTGACAAGATGTAACAAAGGCAGGAAATCAGATTTCGGTTTTCGAAGTGACTTGTCAAACAACTCAAAACCACTAACTCTTGCCAGTCATTACAAAAAAAAAAACAACAAGTAATTCATCCCTGCTTTACAGATGTGAACTTTGGAACAAGTTAAACAGCAGATCTACAAAACTAATGAATCGATTTCAATACTTTGTTGTGGAAGACAATCACAATTTTATAGATAACCTGTTGTGCGATTTGTGGAAAAACATGGTTGGAACGTACCCCATCTCCGTAGAAATTGATCGACGCAATCGCTGTTTTTTGGTAAACTGTGTGATCTTATGGATTGGACGTTTTATTTAAACACGTTTTCATGTTCAGACTGTGTGACTTTGTAACGAATGAAGGTAAACAGAAATCTGGGTTTGTACGAGACATTTGGCAAATGTTAGAAATGTCCACTCAAACATAATTTTCCCCCATGTATTACTGATCTTGTAAATAAGTCTGTGTGTATATTTTTTTCCTTTTTAATGTCATTTACATTTTGATGTTCCTAACGTAGCATAATATAATAAATTGTATGCATTGTAAAATATCTGATAAGAGGAAATAAAGATTGATTGGAACGATGTCTTATTTGATTGCTGTTGTCTATAAATTGATGTATTAAACATTAATTCTCCTAACAAAATTGTTGTGAAATAATTAAAAATACCTTTAATAAAATTAAAGAGTGCAACAATCCATTTATACCGACATTTGTAAGGAATAATTCCACCAAGTTGTTGAGCTCAGCATTTGAATTATCAATGCACGCATCGAATCAATTGTTGCGCGTATCAATTCATTTGATGTACAAATTAATGGGAGCAATAATTAATTTGACGTGCACATCGCAATAATTGAATTAATATCAAATAATTATATTTGAGTTTATGTTAATTTAACACTCAGAAGAGAGTGATTTATTTTTCTGGGATCTTTAGGTCACCTGAGTCACTCAGGTGACCTATTGCTATCTGTTTTCGTCCGCCGTCCGTCGTGTGTTAACATTTGAACATTTTCAGCTTAATTCTTCTCTGAAACCGCCGAACCAATTTCAGCCAATTTTAGCATATGGCATCTATGTGTGAAGGAGAACAAAATTTATGAATTTCATGGTCCCTGTCCCCCTGGGGCCTGAGGGGTGGGGCTAAAACCATCAAAATTAATGCAATCTTTAAAAATCTTCTTCTTTACCCCTGAACATCAAGCAGTCAAACTGTTGGCATCATTGTAATAAGCATTGAGCCCTCTACCAAAATTGTGAGATTCATGGCCCCAGGGGCAGGGGTTCTGGTGCTAGATCGGGGCTATATAGATCATTTTGTGAAAGTGCATTATTTCTTTGAAAATCTTCTCTACTCCTGGGTATTATTTAAACAAATTAAATACATAGTTATGATAAGCAAGGATGCCTCTTCTAAAATTGTGAATTTCATGGCCCCTGGATCAGGGGTTCTTGTGTTAGGGTGGGGCTCTATTTATTATATAGTGAAAATGCATTAATGCTTTAAAAATCTTCTTCTTTGCTCCTGGGTATTATTTTAAAAAACTGAGTACATTGGTATGATAAGCAGCGATGCCTCTTCCAAAATTGTGAAATTCATGGCCCCAGGGACGAGGGTTCTGGTGCTAGGGCGGGGCTATATAGTCTAAGATCCTATAGTGAAGTTGAATTATTTCTTTGAAAATCTTCTTCTCTGCCCCTGTTTATTATTTTAACAAACTAAGTACATTGTTCCTGTTTATTATTTTAACAAACTAAGTACATTGTTATGATACACAATGATACCTCTTCCAAAATTGTGAATTTCATGGCCCCAGGGTAAAGGGTTCTTGTGAAAAGGGGGGGGGGGCTCTATTGATTATATAGTAAAAAAGAAAAATTTCTTTAAAAATATTCTTTTCTGCTTCTGGTTAAAAAGCAAAGAAGCTAAGTGTATAGTAATGATGAGCAAGAGTGCTTCTTCCAGAGTAGTGAATTGCATGACCTCTGGGTCAGATGTGCTGGTGTAAGGGTGGGGCTCTTGATAATATAGTGAAAATGCATTAATTCTATTAAATAATCCTGTCTGCTCCTTAGTGTTAAGCAGATAAACAAAGTGATTACTTATGATGAGCAAACTTCTGGTCCCAGGGTGAGAGGCTCTGGTGTTTCTTGGTGGGGAGGGGGTGCCTCTATTGATAATACAGTGAATCTGTAGTAAAAAAATGCATTATTTCTTTAAAGATCTTCTCTGTACCTGGGCATATCAGAGGCAAAACGAGTAAATTTTAATAAGGAAGTGTAATTTTACCAGATTTTTGAATATCTGGACCATTTGGTCAAGTGTTCTGGTCCTGGCCAGGGCTCTATTATACATTTATTGACTGGGTTCGAGGGCAACATGCGTTTTGTCAGACCCAAAATCCAAACTGTTTGCCTGAGGCCGTTAGGCAGAAGGCAAACAGTTTGGTTCGAGGGGTCGACAAAACGCATTTTGCCCGAGAACACAGTCACTAAATGTTTTGTTATACCTTTTATTTATTTATTTTATTTTATTTTATTATTTTTATATATATATATACATGTATGTCGAACACCACCGAATGCATGATGAGATTTAGCTGACCCCGCCCATTATGTCACGTAAGCGGTCCAACATCTCATCGATAGGTCCAATATCTCACTCCGCGGTCAAACATCGATTTTTTTTTATGCCCGCTCAGTAAAACATTTGAAATGTTAGACTTTTATTAGTAATGAGCTATATAGGAACAATTTTTTAAAGGTATAACAATAATTTGTATTCTACTGAGAGGAGTTATTCCCCTTTGTTATTTACTTTTAAATTAATCACTGTAAATAATGTACTTGAAAGGTTACATGTAATAGAATAAGAGAATTATGCAAGAATTTTTATTGCATACATGTAATACAAAAAGTACTTTGAATTCATAGTTTTAATGATAAGGTAGACTTTGTAATAGATAAATAAAAATGAGACAAAAATAACTTGTCTTATTAAATGTTCATCAAAGACCAAGAGAGGCCAATGTAAGAGATTTCAACAAGGAATTAAAATAGTACAGAAGCACTGATAGTTTGTTAATATACTGTATGGTGATAGTGATAAATGGGGAACAGATTAGAACCTAATTTATGAACTATTAATGAATATTAGACTAATTATTTTGTTGATTTTGATCATCCTATTTTTCTTGCTTTTGGGCAACAAAGCTTCACCTTTCCGTTCATTTTATAAATACTCTATGGATCCTCTAAATTATTGTATTATACTCAGGTGACCGTTAAGGCCCTTGGGCCTCTTGTATTATTACTAAGCTTATCTCCTCATCAGAGACATCATATAAATACTGCATGTAGCTGAGGATAACATTAATATGTATTTATTATTGACTGGGTTCGAGGGGAACACGCGTTTTGTCGGACCCAAGAAACAAACTGTTTACCAGCTGAGGCCGTTAAGCCCGAAGGCAAACAGTTTGGTTCGAGGGGTCGACAAAACGCACTTTGCCCGATAATACAGTCAATAAATGTTTTGTTATACCTTTTTTTATTTATTTATTTATTTAATTTTTTGTTATACATGTATTTTTGCCGCTGACTTCCATGCCAACGAATGCAAATAAGATTTAGCTAATCTCACCCACAGTGTGTAAGCGGTCCAATATCTCGTCCGCAGGACCATGCAATATCTCACTCTGCGGTCAAACATCGATTTTTTTTATGACCGCTCAGTAAAACATTAGAAGTGTTAGACTTTTTTAGTACCGATTTACTTAGGAACTTATTTTTAAAGGTATAACAATATATTATACTGAATGTTTTATTCAAATACAAATAACAGTGAACCGTGCGCGCAGAAATTCCGCGCAGTCAACATTTTTCGGAAGATCAACTGTCGTCATGTGGACTGTTACTGCATGCGTTCTATCCCCCTGGAGGGCGTGGTTTTATCATTCAGAGGGTGACAGAGGGTGACATTATTTTTAAAATAAATGATTATCGACAAATCAAATTCAGCTCATTTACATGAATTATTTATAAATTTATCCAAAATTCTGTCTCTCCTGATAGAAGGAAACATACTAGCTGGCTTTGGCATGGTTGTCTGAATCAATCTATCTAACACTAATCATTTCTGAACCGGAACTCTTGAACCCTTTATTATGCTGTCAATGTCATGTCGTCAAGGACCTATTGTGAGGATATCAGAATGAGAAAAGGGGAGAGGTTCGTCCATTTTCTTTACATATAAAATCGACTTGTATTTTTTTTTAAAGCATCTTCTGTTCTTTTCGAGTTCGTATCTTTTGGTCTACAATCACGATATGTGCCTTAAGGTTGACCTTTTGACTTAAGAATAAAATGTCCATACCTTGGTAAATACCTATTCGGTCATTTATCAAAAAACAATAAAATGTTTTCTTTCATTGTTAGTATTGGAATTAATGTTGCAGCTGTTGCAAAAAAATACAAAACCCGCTTAAGCGGACAAACAAAGAATGACATTTTGTTTATATTTATGTCTGTATAAAAAGGTGATTCAAATTTACCACCACCACCCCATCCACGCCAAACTTTGTTGCAGAGGTATAAAACATGCATCTTTGGTTAATACTAATACATACAGGGTGTCCCAAAATAGATGATACCATTTGAAATACCTGCCACAAACATCCCTTGGCCAATTTCTTTGATATATGTCTCTAAAAATATTTGAATAAGTACAAGTTTTAGCAACAAAATATTCCAAAAAAATTCACACACTTATGAAATTGCAACGCTACAAATTTATGTGAAACTTTTGCAAAAAACTGCAATTTCAATCAAATTTGATTATGAAAAAAGCTAGTTAGCCTCATTTTGAAACCGTAATCATCAATCCTAGTCTTAGGTTACTGCTGCTAAACCCAAACCAGAAACCTTAACATATCTGAAAGGTTACCTTTGATGAAAATCCAGAAGTTACTACCGAGACAGGTACCGTTGTTTCAAGTTAAGGAATTTTGTGCAATGGCTAGACATTACACAGATAGAACATCATTTAAAAACCATAGCATTTTTCAAAGTGAACCCATTTTGTTGTTTACCTTTTAATGACTGTCAAATTATGTGAATAAAATGGGACAGTATATACAATGTTTATAATGCATTTGTTGTAATTCAATATTCATTACATTAGGTTTTACAGAATCTTGAAATGGTATCATATCTTATGGGACACCCTGTACTAATAATTTTTATAATAAATACTACAAAGCTCACCTCTACGAATGTTATCTATGAGTATAAGGCAGTCTCAAGCAAATATTCTGGTAGTGTGTGTATCCCTAGATGCAAATCTATATTCAAGTTTGGTGTGCATGGGTAAAACTTCCCAGATACTTGGCAGTGAACCTGCTCCAAAAATTTTACTGTTAAATCACCCAGAAAAGGTCGGTTAGATCCAATATCTGAAGCAGGTCTATAGTAGTGTGCATCCCTGGATGCAACACTTATGCAATTTTAATCACTAAATTGGCTTATAGTTACATGTATTTGGGAAAGAACAAGCTCCAAGAACTTTAACTTGGTCACTCTTCAGAAAAATGTACATCAGATCCAGCATCTGAAGCAAGTCTTGTATAGTGTACATATCCCTAGATACATCATTTAAGCAAGCTTAGTCATCATAGGGTTATATATAGTTACTTGGGAATGGACCTGCTCCAAAAATTTGTTTTGAATATATTTTATCGTATAATTAACACAAAGGGATTGGTTACAAGTTCTAACAACTTAGGACTTTAACCTTCCGATATTCAATCATCCAGAAAATGCAGGTTTTATCCAGCATGCAAAGCAAGTCTTGTAGTGTGTATCCATCAATATATTATCCATGCAAGTTTTATCACCTTAGTGCTTTGGAATGAACCAGCTCCAAAAACTTAAACCTATTTACTAATCCAGAAAATATTGGTTACATCCAGCAAAGTAAGTCTAGTAGTGCGTATCCGCAAATGCATCATCTACCATTTACAAGTTTAGTCACCATAGGACTTGCTTACGAATGGACATTTTTGGTCACCATAGGGCTTATATTTACTTGGGAATGAATCTGCTCCAAAAACTTTATCTTGTCATTCATCTGGAAAATGTACATTGAATATATTGAATCCAGCATCCGAAACAAGTATGGTATAGAGTGCATCCCTACATGCATCATCTATATGTTTGGACCTTGGGAATGGACCTTCTTCAAAATATTAACCTGTTCACTCATCCACAAATGTACATCAGATTCAGCATCCAAAGAAAGTCTAGTACTGTGCATCTCTAGATGCATCATTCATGCAAGGTTAGTCTCCATATGACTTAAATTGTAGCTATTTTGGAATGAGATCCAGCTGCTTCGAAAACTTAACCTCCTCCAAAAACATTAACCTGCTCCAAAAACATTAACTTGGTCATTCTTCTAGAACATATTGGCTGAAAATGCAGCATATCTGAAACGTAAATAATAAATGTACAATGAAACATTTTAGATGCATCATCCATTCAACTCTGATCTATATAGATCATATAAAGTGACTAATAGATAGAAATCTGCTCCAAAAACGCTAGGATGGGATGCCAATAAAGACAATATAGCAAAAGCTCTCCCTGACTTCTAGTAGTTGTAGCCGGAAATAAGTTTTAAAAAGGGGGGGCAAGTTCTCAAAAAAATATGACAAGCAAAAAAAAAAAAAAACAAACAAACAAACAAACAAACAAAACAAAACAAATCAAAACAAACAACAAAACAAACAAACCTTATTAACCGTCCAAATTCTTGAATTTCCCTCTGTTAGATCTTACAGCAACAAAGGGGGGGGGGGGGCAACCACCATCTAAAGAAAAAATTTACTATAGCAAAATACTATATTAAGAAAAGGGGGGCACTTCTGTGGTTCTATGGGCCTGGAAATAAGTATATATGATATTTAGTCTTGAAATAAATATTGTCTACAGATGTGAAACTCAATGAGGGATAACATATTATATTCAAAATAGGATGCACTCATGAAAAAAATGTAAATATAAATGAGCAAAATATTTATCCAAGTTGGACAATTATAATGTCATTCCCAAAATTCCAGGAGGCATCTATATATTTGTAGATTTAATTTTTAAAGAAAGAAATATATTTCCATTACTTTTACGTCAAACTTAAAAAATCTTTAACATGTTTAACAGTTTGAAAAAAGCCTGATGTTGTACAGATGTAATAATAAGCAGATAAAAAGAAAATATTGTAGATACATGTAATGGGATAATGTAAATACAACTTTTATTGTAAATACAATGTCCCACAGTCTGATCACAGATACTTGGGTCAGGCGCGGATCTAGGATTTTTTCCGGGGGGGGGGGGGAGGGGTTCCACCCCAGTTAAAAAAAAATGTCCAACCCCAGAATTTCTTGACAAGCAAAAAAAAAAAAAAACAAAGCAAAACAAAACAAACAAAAAAAAAAACAACTAAGGACCCCCCCCCCCCATCTAGATCCGCGCATGTGGGTCTTGGTTTTTATTTTAAATATGTACATGTATACCTTATTGTCAATATTGATATGTTCACTCTTTATACAAATCAATAAGAAATTATAAATATTTATAGTACAGATCTGCGAGTTTGATTAGGACTTGGGCAAGTCCATTTTCTTTCATTATTTTCTTGTAACCGGAATTCGCCGCATTGGTTCCTAAATTAGTTTAGACATTATAGAATTAGAACCAGGAACGGACCATGAAAATGTAAATATTGGGACTTCAATGCATCATAAATGCTTTAAATTTGTTTTAAATGAGAACCTTGATAACTAACGTTATACATAGTAACATATATATATTTTTTTTCTTTACAGGTGCGTGTCTTACCTTTAAGTGTGATGTACACGTGAGATTATTCAGCCCAGGATAATGATGTACTAGGCGGATCTTTCTTGTTAACCGACTGTGACAGAGCTCGCTATTCCACGTAGTCTCACCACAGATTATCTTTGTAGCAATGTGATGTTGATTCCTTCCTAACAAATTTGGTTCTAACAATTTTACGTCAAAACGCAATGATTGTTAAGAAATGGTATGGAATGTCAACAGTTTATTCACGACCCAGGATAGAGTCATGGCTGGATTGTTTAGAAGGACTATGTGGGTTCAACTCTTTGTTTTAATCTTTCCTGTGTACCTGTTTAGTAATATACAGTGTGTGAATGTGAAACCACAAAAAGAAATCTATGTGCCAAATTACAGGTTCTACCATAATTTAAATCTTATCGAGGAAGAAGTCAAACTTCTGTCCAAATTTCCAAATTATGTGAAGGTGTACACACAGTACAAGTCTAGAAAAAACAGACCCCAGCATCTTTTACACATATCAAATTTTAGCGAATCAAAAGAACTTGAAAGATTTAAAGACTCGGATAGCCTGAAAAATAAACCGAGATTACTTTTCTCCTATGGAGAACATGCAAGGGAATTCCTCCCAGTTGAGAGTGCAATACGTTTTATTAAAAACATAACAGGTGGTTTACTGTCTTCCTCAGATGTATTTTCTAGAAAGTTTACACAGCAAATTCTGTCACAAGCAGATATATACATTATACTAATGGCTAACCCAGATGGACGGCATTATGTTGAACAAATGAAGAATTACTGCTGGAGAGGAACCAGTACAGGGGTGGATCTAGACAGAAACTTTGGGTGGGAGTTTGGAGGGATGGGAAGTTCTGATGACCCAAATGACGAGGAATTCAGAGGAAAGAAACCATTCTCAGGTGCCTCAATGGGAGATATATCCTATTACAGTGAAAATTGTCTCATCCTGATGTTCTGTGTTTCAAAATCTTCATATATGATGTAACATTTAAGTCCCTTTTGATAAATTTAATTCTTTAAAATGTTGTCTAATCCAGAATGCTGTCTAATCTGGCCAATTTTGAACCAGTGGTGTCGGAATTAGACCAAGTTTTATTGTGCATAATTGTTTAAGTTTAGTGATGCTGGCTTTGTATTTTATTTATGTGTGACTTTTAAATCGTATATGTCTTTCCCATTTGTTACAGAACCTGAGAGTAAAGTTTTCCGGGAGATAATATCAGAGATAGCATTTGATGCTTTCTTCTCTTTCCATTCAGGGATCAATCACATATACATTCCATATTCAGGTCTGAATTTGATTTTACCATAGTTAGGAAATGCTTAAACTTAATTCACTGAAACTTATTTCAAGATAAATAAATTAATGTCCTGCATGGTTATAAGATTATTCTAGTCTATAGCACAGGCACTTGACATTTTAAACCTTTCTCTTTGTTGATAAAAATATCACCTTACTTTAATTACAGTCAAACCTCATTATCTCGAACTCCGTGGGACCGTAAAAAAAATTTGGGATACATGTATCTGAAGATTCGAGATATCAAGGGTAAAATAACGGTACTTAAAGATTAAGGGGTTGGGACTTCCAAATCACTTCAACATATCCATGGTATTCGAGATATCAGTGTTTGAAATACCAAAGTTCAACTGTATTTTAGTATAATGGTGATATTTTTATCAATGATTAGAGTATAAGTTAATCCATTATCTATTGGGAATTAAATTTCACAGATACAAGATCTAGGGAGATCCAGAGAGAACCAGACAATATTAATGAGATGCTCCGTATGGCCTCTCGTTTATCACGCTGCACCATGTACCGGTACCAATATGGAACCGCACCCCAGCTGATCAATTACACTGCAGACGGCACCATATTTGACTACATGGCAGGAGTCCAAAAAGTAAAATAATAGGAATCTGACCAACACTAGACTTACACTGACTAGCATTAGATTTTTATGCTAAAGTTTTGTAAATCACATTTTTTTGGGACAACTTTATTTTCTGTTTGAGAAAATTTGGTTCTCACACATATGTGTAAGTGTAGATTTCACTGAGCAAAAGCTAGAAATTGTGAAAATTTTGTCGCACTTATAAGTACCAAATACCAAGTACCTATCTCACCGAAAATAGTCCTCCATAAACTGTGATGGTCTTTGGTATTATGATATCTTTTGTACTACTGCTTATTTGCATTTAATTCCTTTTTTGTAGATCCCCTTCTCCTTTACGGTTGAGTTGTGGGGTAGACAACATGGAGGACCAAGTTGTTTTGATTTGTTTAATCCAGAAAGTCAAAACCTGCAGGTCAGTAAATGCATATTATTATTACCATTTAAATGTATATAATTAGGTAATTTTTTTGCATTATTGTATTTGTTAGCAACCCTGGTTATAGAAGTGCAACTTGGATAGCTATTAAATTCATTCTTTATTAATTTAATTTTCTGTCATCAAATGCCAAAAAAAAAAAAGGAATAAGGCAATTTCATGAAAAAAATGTTGTGTAATTCTTCAAACTTTAAATGATAACATCAAGCAGATTGGTATGTGTCTTTGATGCATGTCATGGTGCATATTACACAAGACAGCTTAATTATTTGATATAAACTATTTTTCTATCCAGTCAAATAGTACTTACAAGCAGAATTAAATTATTTACCTATATCAATGTTATTTTACCATAACTTGCCAGAAATGTTTGTAAAACCGTAGAACAGTACAAATAAATAACCTAACATTTGTATTTATATAAGACGTATGTGGTATTGAAATCATAAACTTTTCTACAGGAAGTGGTCAGCTCCCTTCATCCACTATACATCAACATTATAGCCCACCTGTCTGAATGGAAATCTAGAAATCACAGAGAAATGGCTAATCCAAATGTAAGTTTGTAATGCTTCACAGAGGAATGGCTAATCCAAATATAAGTTTGTAATGCTTCAAAGAGAAATGGCTAATCCAAATGTAAGTTTGTAATGCTTCACAGAGGAATGGCTAATCCCAATGTAAGTTTGAAATGCTTTGCAGGGATATGGCCAGTCCAAATGTAAGTTTGTAATGCTTCACAGGGAAATGGCTAATCCAAATGTAAATTTGTAATGCTTTGCAGGGAAATGGCTAATCCAAATGTAAGTTTGTAATGCTTCACAGGGAAATGGCTAATCCAAATGTAAATTTGTAATGCTTTGCAGGGAAATGGCTAATCCCAATGTAAGTTTGTAATGCTTAGCTGTTTAGCAAAGTTCCTACTCTTGAATAGGATGTCATATTTTGTGATGGAGCACACTCTTTGGGTATATCATGATATCTTGTGCCCATGAAATCAAAATATTAGTGATTTTATTTCTCAAGATAATATATAGCCTTGCATTCATTTATGAGACATAATATATGCAAATCACCCATGCTATATGTAATTAAAGATGCTTCTCATTGTTGTAGTCAAAAAACAAGATGTGTTTGTGAAACACTGATGCCCGCGTATGGCAGCTTGTGGGGAAGTTTTTCAAATGCAAATCAAAGTCCAAGGTCAAGAGATCAAAAATGCTGGTTCCCAAAGAAAGGTCTTGTCACAAGGAATACACCTGTGAAATATGAAAGCCCTAGTACCAACCTTTAAGGTTATGGCCAAAGTTAAAGTTTTTCAAAAGTAGGTCAAACTGCAAGGTCAAAGGTAAAAAGATTGTTGTTATCCAAGGGAAAGTCTTGTAACAAGGAATACAATGTGAAATACGAAAGCCCTATCACCAACTGTTCAAATGTTAGGGCGAAGGTTAAGTTAGTATCACTGCTCTTTTCTTCATTTCAGACTGACAGTCCCTCATTAGTATTGGGTTACATGATGTTAGGGATCACCGCTGGGGTTTCTTTGATGGTTTGTCTTCACAGAAAATTCAGAAACTGTCCTAAGTTTTCCCCTCATCAAAGAGTTGTCTCCCTTAAAACTCTGAGTTCTTCATTTTCTACAAAGAAATTGTGAAAGTAAACCTCCTTAAGGATGCCTTTAATATTGATATTTTTTAAAAATTATATATACTTTTTTTTTAATTTATTTTGCTCAAAAAAGAAATCCTTATCTGAAATTTTATTTCTTGTGCAAAAGTCCCATTGAGAAATCCTTTGTATCTTGATGTTTCAAACATGAATTTTTGCAGTGTTTTGCAGTCTTTATTTGAACATGAATTTTTGTAATGTTTTGCAATCTTTATTTGAACATGAATTTTTGTAATGTTTTGCAATCTTTATTTGAACACACATTTTTGCAATGTTGTGCAATCTTTATTTGTAATTTTATCTTTAATACAAATAGATATTTATTGTATTAATTTGGAATATTTAACACTTTCAAATTGAAGGTTTGTGAATTAAAAAAATGTAAATGAACACACACAGAGGTATTCTGAACAGTAGGAAATATTTAACTTTGTTATACTTCTGTATTAAACAATCATAAAGATGATTTTATTTTACTGGGTTATGACTATAATAATGAAAAAATACATCTACTGGCACAAAATAATTATTTTGTATCCATTTCCAGGGTTTATGTATCCAATATTAAAGCATAAATTGTTGATACTAGATTATATATTTATTAATTTCATAATACTTATATTCTTTGTTGGATTATATAGTTACAATACGGTTGAAAAATTTTCATAAGAGGAAATCCCTGATTATACCACATGCTACCCACAATCCATTGCAAACGTGTGTATGGTTGTGGTTTTAAAGGATACATATACATGTATATATTATACACTGTTCTACAATGTTTAGTTTATGGAGCAGGGCATACATGTAGGCACCTGAAATATTTATCAAAATAAATTGAAAAAAATATAATGAGAGATAACTTATTTGTTGACAGGTACTGCGTTTACTCTCTGACCTACCTATGTAAGAAAAATCATGCTGAATACTCAAACTTATGACGTTTAATTTGTAATTCAATCACGGACCATTATGTTGAAAAAATTAAAATCAGCATTGTTTTATTTATATTTCATCATAATATATCATTTTTTTTTGTTTTTAATCGTGTTTTCATAACGCAACAAGGTCAACTGCTAAAATATCAGGGGCAGGGCCTATTTTAAAAAAGAATTTATGACTAAGACCAAAAACTGTAGTTGATAAAAAAAAAAATTGGAAAATAAATGATCCTGTTAATTACGTAATAACGAGACACACTGCTCGCGAAGATTTCGTATTTGCGTATTTATTTATATTGTAAATGATTACGTACAATAACCTTCGTGAAAATTTTGTCTCGCTTTTAGCTATCTCGCGAAAGTAAAGTGATCTACATTATTGCCCCTCCTCAGGCTGCCATCTTTTCCTAAATGGTACTTCTCCCACAGGTTATTTCTGATTTATAAATAAAAATGGTACAAGTTTAGAGGTTATAAAGAAACCTATTGTGGAATCCGTTTTCAATTCAATACGGAAGTTTGCAATTATATAAAAATAAATAAAAAAGAGAACAATCTGCTTTTCCTGCACTTTGTCTGATTTGAATACTTATACATGTACTAGACTAAGTTTCAAAGAAACTGTCTCCCATCAGTTACGTACATGTACCTCAAATCACTTAATAATAATGTTTTCCGCTATCAATTAAGAGTCTATTTGTACATTGGTTGTTACAGATTAATGATAAGGAAGTGAACATACATGTATCACCAAAACTCTGATCAACCTGATTAGGGGTTAGGACCAAAACGAAATTGCCCTTGCATTTAAATTGGTACTTCATACCAAGTCCGCAAGAAACGATTTCAGTTTGGATGAGCTCAAACAAACATTTTCAGTTTGGGCGGGGGGGGGGGGGGGGGCAACCAAAAATTCCTTGACAAGCAAAGAAAAAAGGTTATCAGACGTTGTTATTGAGGGGTCATAAACATAAAGTAGCTACATGTATGTTTTAAAGTATAAAAATTATTGGGGCACGACCCCTCGTGCCCCTCCCCCTTACCGGTTACTTCGGTCATGCATTGCATACCATCTCTTAATTCTTTTCCGTCTTTTAAACAGAATTTTTTTAAAAATTATTGGTTAAATGTGTTATTATCAACTACCTTTGCAAAATATCCTACATTTAATTATGTGAAATAGAGCGAAAATAAACTGCAGTGCACTCGAGTCACAAATTTAACGCCTGTTAGATTTTGTATTCATAAAATCCACGAGTAAAGTTCTGTCAAACAAAAGCCGCTGGTATAAGTCATAAAAACTTAAATATACCTTTAAACTGAACTACTCGTATTTTTATCTACATATACTCTTACAAATGCGGGGATGAATTTTGGCATATATATATGTTATCAGTCTGATCTCATTGCGTGTTACAAAACGATCTCAATTGGTCTTGGTTAATGACTTAAGTAGAGCTGCAGACGTGTGGGGGTAAAGACTTTTTAGCCTGCCAATTCAAATACCAAAACTACAGTTGCAAGGTAAGACTGATCATTGCATTCAGTATTTATTTTGAAAGTATTTGCATGCTTTTCTGAGAAGTCTTGAAAATTGTAAGAGTGCTGAATGAAAGGTTCATCAAGTTGCAGTGCCCAATAAATTATTGTCCTGCTAAGGTTAGATTTATACAAAGAATTACTTTTAGTAATAATAACCTAAAACTACTGGTAAATTTAATTTTTATCATTAAGTATTTATATATGTTTCTTAAGTTCTTTTCTTTTTCTTCAGAAAAGTCTCTAAAATGGGTTGCAGCGAAAGTACAGAATCCAACTCCAAGATGTTTGCTTGCATACCTCCACAGCCCCCTTATTTGGGCCCCCCGTGTGAATATCGGATTGAGAACTTCATGGTAGAGTACGTGGAACAGTTAAATCATATATTTATGCCTACCAGCTGTAGAGACATGCCGTTAATGACCTTGGACGAAAATGTTTATAGCCTCACTTTGGGGTCATTGTATGACCTTGGATTCCGTCTGTTGACCTTCACAGTAATTCCGGCGTCGGTCACGGTCAGTGGAATCCTTACAGCAAACATCAAGCAAACACACAAGTATCAAGGAATTTGTAGGCACCTGCCCGAGGATGAATTACCTCAGCAGTGGTCCCTCAAAGTCGTAAAATCCTATTTGCCCTCAAAAATATTTACTTACGGGGTGTTTAGATTGGGTGATACAAAAGTTACTGCTGATTCCACCCACATATTTCAAACAATAACTGACGAGGCATCCAAAGGTGGCAGACTTGTTTGTGTAGAAGTAACAGGTTATAATTCTCAGAATGTGAAACAGACCGGGGAAACGAGTTCAGCTGTGGGGGCATTTGGTGGTCATGGTGCAATGAACTCTAGCTTCTTTGGGCAAACTCCAGATATGAGTAAGTTTTATCTCTTTGATTTCATTGTCCCACATTCATCTTATAAAATGAATGTTTTAAACACATCTAAAGATCTGAGAGATATGGTCTGTAGATTCGCATGTTTATGTGATTAAAAGTTAAAATTATGATTTATACAATTATATTAAAGTGGACCTTATTAAAAATGTAAATACTTATGACTTTAAGGCATTACACAAACATGTTGGTATACAAAGATTTCATGAATATTCATCATTGAAAGATTTTTCAGTGACAACAGGTGCAACCCGATTACAAATACGTGAGACTTGTTTGAAGATCGCGTAAAACCTATTTACAGTTCTATTCATTTCAAAATATATATTCTGAAAACAATATTTGGCTCATACTCACGCATTGTTGATTCTATATACGCATTGTAGCTAGAGTTGTTGGCCAAAATGCATTTAATAAACTTATTTATCACATGTTTACTCCTTTATACAGTGGTTATAGCTGCAGAACTGTAGCGTTATGGTCTTATATTTTAGTCTTCGACAATAACATAAAACCACAAGATGTGTTTGTGAAACACTGATGCCCCCGTAGGGCAACTTATAGCAAAGGTTGAACTTTCTCAAATGCAAATCAAATATGTTGGTACCAAAAGTAAGGTCTTGTCTCGAGGAATAAATCTGTGAAATATGAAAGCAATAGCAGCAACTACTGAATAGATATGGAAAAGGTTAAAGTTTTTTCAAAAGTAGGTCAAACAACAAGGTCAAAGTCAAATGGTCAAAATTAATGGAACCAAATGAAAGGCCTTCTCCTAAGAAATACACAGGTGAAATATGAAAGCCAAAGCACCAATCGTTCAAAAGTTAACACCAAGCTTAAAGTTTTCCAAAAGTAGGTCAAACTCCAAGGTCAAGGTCAAAGGGTCAAAGTTGTTGGTATCCAAAGAAAGATCTTGTCACAAGGATTACCTATGTGAAATATGAAAGCCCTAGCACCAACCGTTCAAAAGTTATGGCCAAGGTTAAAGTTTTCCAAAAGTAGGTCAAGGTCAAAGGGTCGACTATGAAAGCAATAGCAGCAACCATTGAATAGATATGGAAAAGGTTAAAGTTTTTTCAAAAGTATGTCAAACATCAAGGTCAAAGTCAAATGGTCAAAATTAATGGAGCCCAATGAAAGGCCTTCTCCTAAGAAACACACAAGTGATATATGAAAGCCGAAGCACCAATCGTTCAGAAGTTATCACCAAGCTTAAAGTTTTCCAAAAGTAGGTCAAACTCCAAGGTCAAAGGGTCAAAGTTGTTGGTATCCAAAGAAAGGTCTTGTCACAAGGATTACACATGTGAAGTATGAAAGCCCTAGCATCAACCGTTCAAAAGTTATGGCCAAGGTTAAAGTTTTCAAAAGTAGGTCAAACTTCTAGGTCAAGGTCAAAATGTCAAAGTTGTTGGTATCCAAAGGAAGGTCTTGTCACAAGGATTACACATGTGAAGTATGAAAGCCCTAGCACCAATTGTGCAAAAGTTATGGCCAAGGTTAAAGTTTGGTAAAATATTGCAAAACTGGGTCAAACTCCAAGGTCAAAAGGTCAAATATGATGGTACCCAAAGAAAGGCCTTGTCACAAGGAATACACGTGTGAAATATTGTAAGCTACCCAAGGGGTGGCTAGTATTTCTGAATCCTCAGCATGTATACAGGTCATTGCTTCATCATCTAAATAAATCATCTATTTACCAGGATGCACCAATTTAATTTGCTCTCATGTAAAATAGACCAGGCTCCTCTCTCTGTAGATACTTGGTGGAATAATACTAATGATGATGATCAGTCATACTTATCATTTATTGTACGTACAGCATCTCATTATCATAACAATATAGGCAATACACAAATAACAACATAAGAAAACATGGCTGATTCTTCAGAAACACAAGTTTAGGTCGTCCAGTGTGGTAGGAGATTTCTAACTAGGCTAATTACGTGTAATTTACATTATAAGTATCTCACCGTCTTTTTCTTCTTTATCTTTTTAAATCTTGCGGCCGTACAACTAGCTGAAATCTGTCGTAACGTAGTACGCGCTTGCTTATATAACCTCCCATCCCCTGTCACATGACTCAAATTATCCAATGAAAATATGCCGTACCAACTATCAACCAATCAACAGCTTGTACGGGAAGCTGAGTTCCCACACAAGTTCCCACACAGAACTACTTTTGCCACACAAGCTGCCGTACAATATCGTAACAAATATAACAATATAAATTTAACAACTAGAAATAGAATACATAAAATAAACTTGACTAGACGAATAAATTAATACCTTCAATGTTTATAAAACATTCCTAGGCTGTACAATAGGTACTTAACAAAGTAGCGTATGAATATCGTAACTACCAACGATAGCGTAAACAAATGTAGTTCCGATTAAGCCGACTGATAATAAAGTTAATGCTGACAATAAAGAACTACTTATAGCCTCAAAATACACAACAACTCAAATTAAAATGTAGAATCTGATCCAATACTCATAACTTGAATAATAGATTACTATAGTAAATGTGTCACTAAACCGGAAGTGATGATCCGAGTAAAGTATGATGGCTACCAAAACATGAAATGTAAAATCCACCCTCTTATCCCTGATATTATAAATTCTACGACTTTACATGAAGCAACAACAGGTAAAATATGATGATAATAGCTATTACTACAATCGTATCAAGATAGGTTGACATATTATTTTCAATAAAATCGTAAACGAACAACTTTTCTGGCAGGCACATGATGAATATAGATTTAACAAGTATGAGAACTGGACGACCGCATAATATTACGTATAAAATACAGTGATATATTACAATATATTACAATATGAAAGCCATAGCTCCAACCGATCAAAAGTTATGAACAAGGTTAAAATTTTTGAGAACAAAAAGACAGACGGACGGACAGGGCAAAAACTATATACCCCCGAATCTTCGATACGGGGGCATAATAATAACGCTTAAGTTCTGCAGCTACTGTGGATATAGCTCATAAGATATATACGTTTTCATATCCACGGTTGTGAAGTCACAATGGTTTTTGAGTGGATTTGATCGAGTCAAACATTGTGGATTTACAAATATAATACAGCGTAAAACATGAAATACATGTAGCTATGTTTAATTAAAACAAGTGATAAAAAGAATCGGCCCCCTTGGTTTGTGGTTAGATATGATTTTTTTTTTTTATCCAACTCGTTTTGTGTTTTTATCACTTCGCCAAGGCTCAGGGATAAAAAAAAAACTCAAAAATCGTTGGATAAAAAAAATCATATCCAACCACAAATAACCATGGGAGATCATCAACTTCCCTCGTTTTTTAAGATACGTGTATGAAGCTTATAAAATTTTGTAAAAATCGGAATCACTGTATTTTTTCTATGATCACAAAAGAACATTTTTTGGCGCCAATTAATTTTTTTTAAATATAATAAAAAAATAAAATATAATCAAAGTTTGAAAAATATAAAATATTCATCTGTTGAAATCTACGTAGAGCATACATTGTACATACATTTAGCTGTTTTATTGTCATGAAACCTTTTTATTACCAGGTAAATTATTTTCTGTCTGTAGTTTTAGGAGTGGATATTTTCTTTGAGATACCAAGAAACCCATCCTCGACACAATACGTTTACCAGTGTGTCACAATTCCAATGAAAATTACATGGAGAGTGGCCGTGGCAAAGGGAGGGGAGTGGAACGTAGAGCTGGACTGGGCGGAAGTTACGTCACAGTACCTTGAGAGAGGTTGGAAACTAATAGACATCTTCAGAGATTCAAACAGTAATGGTTTCCAGGATAAAACAGCATTTACATCGAAAGTAACAATCAGTCAGAACTGCGTATTCTTTTTCGAAAAAGAACAGTCCAAACTGAATGACAAGACTCCCGTATACGAGGCGACAATGATAGAATATAATCTCCCTGGCGAAATGACGAAAGAAATTGGTACCACCAGAAGAAGTTATAACCCAGCATGGGGACCAATATTGGACCACCTTGGAACCTTTGGATGGGAACTAGTCAAAATTTTAGACACTCCGGCACTTACCTTCAAAAAGATCATGTGGATGTTTTTTCATCGAAAAATTGTTGCTGCCTCGTCTGCTGCAGAGCACTCATCATCTAGTGGAGCAAATGCAGCACCTACTCCAACTGACCCACCAGAATAAGTGACATGCAACATATATTTGAAACTTAACCAGGACTTAACTTACTGTGATACCATATAGTTGAGGGTAACATTGAAAATCCCAAAAAAACCCATTGTCAACAAAGGGTCAACCGAGATTGACAAGTGTTTACGAAGGGTGAACATTCTCAATGTTACCCTCAACTACATGCCATGTTTATCATATTATACTGGATATTTTAAACAAATACATATGTAAGTCTCCAAATTCGATGGTCTCGCCAAAGTCTGATGGTCTGCGCCAAACCCCGATGGTTCGTTTCCTACGAGACACACTGCGCTAAAGTGCGATGGCCCGACACGTCAAAGTCCGGTAGTGCGGAGTTAGCCTTGCACCCACTCGAGAAATAAGGACTAGTAGTACAATTAAAATTTGGCTTATTCTAGTGAATCATTTCAATTCCGTGAATTGTTTTTCCACACCATCGGAGTTTGGCTTGTGAAACCATCGGGGTTTGGCGCAGACCATCGAACTTTAGCGTGACCATCGGGTTTCGGAGTCCCATCGCACTTTAGAGTTTTGTTTGTTTATTACTCTCAAACCATACAATGGTACATGAGGTACATGAACACATTTACATATATACAGAATATCAGGTCAAGTAAGGAAGAGTAGTATATATAAAAAAGAAGATTATTACTGAAAACATGCCAATATCGTTTTAACAAACAAAGACAGCTTTATCAAGGAGTCTACATCTGTGGTGGACATAAGGTTCTCAAAGAACAAGGTGTGGTAACGGCCGAATCTGGCCCCTTAATTGATGTAAAAATCAGAATACAGTTAAAATTGTGATAGTTTGTAGTTAAGAACTTAAAATGATGCTTGTTTTAAAACCAGCACTAATTTTGATTCAAAGCTTACATGGAGGCCACAAGAGGGTGCAGAAGTGAGACATTTTCCTGAATTTCCTCAATTTTGGCCGATTTTCGTCAAATTTGAGATACATTTCACTTTGGGAAACATAGAGCACAAGCTTGCCTATCTGAGAGTTTTATACAGAAGAAGCATCTGATACTAGTGTATGAAATATATCAATTTGGTAGATAGGCAAGCTTGTGCTCTATGTTTTCTGAACCAAAATGTGCTGTAAAATCGACAAAAATTTGCATAAAAGTGAGAAAATTTGGAAATTTACATATTTTCTGGCCTTCCTCTGACCTCTGTGTATCCCATAACTTAGAAACAATACTCATTTTGTGGCAGAGATGACAACAGGATTTTAATTGATAAACTGTTGTATCATTCTAAAAGACACCCCAAACCAGGGGCCAAAAAGGGGTCTTAGCCTATCTTGTCCTTTATAAGTATTTATATTAGAAAAATATTTCTACTAGATATTCTCCTATACATAACATTGAGCCTTGCTCACATAAATTCTCGCAGTCAATAAAATGGACAAACAAACGGAGAAAAATGCCTATAGTTCGACAAAACTGAAAAACTATATCTCAATTATTACACAATTTTTCTTTGATATTTCGCGGTTAACATTAATGATTACTTAATGAAAAATCTCTAGAATTTGGAACAATATCACAAGTGCTTTTTGTATACATGTACATGATTCTGGAACTTTAAAAGTTAGTAATACACTTAGTGATCATCGAGCAACTTACATCAATATTTATCATAATACTAATGTTAATGCGGCATATAAACGAAAAATTTGGAACTATAAGCATGCAGATTTAAAACTTCTTAATAATTTAATCCTACAATGTGACTGGCCTCAACTAGAATATGCTGTTGAAGTTTGGTTTGGTTGCACAAAGGCAGACATTGAAAATCTTGAAAAAGTTCAGTTATTTGCGGCAAGATTAGTTACTCGGCTTACAATTATTGCTTCAAGAAATTCATTATATTTGGAAACAGGTTGGGAACCTTTGGAATACAGAAGAAACAGAGCAAAACTAATAACAATGTATAAAATGCACAATAATTTAGTACCTAGTTATATACAAAATTTAGTACCTGATACAAGAGGCAATATTTCAGTATATACTATTAGGAATTCCTTGAACTATTCTTTGCCAAAATACAGATTAGAACTATATAATAAATCATTTATTCCTGATACTGTTAGAAAGTGGAATTCCCTTCGTCATCATGCAAGGGAGGCAACTTCTATTAAAAATTTTAAGAACTGTCTGCACAACAACATTGTAAAACCTCAGAAATATTTTTCATATGGAAAAAGGTTTTTGAACATAATTCATACAAGAATGAGACACCATTGTATTTTAAACTCTGACTTATATCGTTGTAACTTAATAACTAGTCCAAATTGTTCATGTGGACTACTAGAAGATGCATACCATCTGTTTTTTGCTTGTAAAAATTATGCAAATGCAAGGAATTCCTTAATGAATAAGCTACTGTCATTTAATAATTTATATGTTATAGATGTACATTTATTGCTATGGGGTGATGATTCTCTTACTATTGAACAAAATGCTGAACTTTTTAAGATTATTTAAACTTTTCTAAATGAATGTGGTCGCTTTTCAAAAAAAGCTTAATTTTTTCCCATTGTAAATATATATTTGTACATTTAAAGATTTTATTTTCTTTCTATTACTACTATGTATATGTAGTAGACCACATATACATGTATTTTATTTAGGCAATTTTACAAAATGTTGTATTAGGAGAAGACTATCTAAGTTTTTGAACTTGTGTCTAATCCTTTTGACTCTTTGACAATAAAATATGTTCAATTCAATTCAAGTGCTTAAATTATTCGTCTATGAAATAGTATGTACACATCAAATATTTCTTTATATTTCAACACAATTTTTCTATATTAGTGGTTCAAAGTATGTTTAAAATTATGCAATTTTTGTTTTACTAAAACAAGGAGAAAGGATCCACTCTTAAAAATACACTTTTATGACACACAATTTACATCTTTCAGATAAATATTTGAAGTCCAATCATTCAAGAGTCATATCACAAACAAGATTTATTTTGATTTCATACCTTTTAGTAAATTAGAACAAAATACTTTAGTAAGTTTAATTTGATTTTTAAACATTTGAGCTAAAGGCATTTTGCATGCTTTGTTCGCCAATCTTCTTTTGAAATATCACCCGTCGCCAAGCAATGTTTATTGTTGCTACGTTGGAGGACATGGTTTCATCATTCAGAGGGTGATAATGTTTCTAACAAATGTTTCTCGACGACAGGCCCGTAGAACGCAGATTCAGCTGGGAAGGGGGGGGGGGACACAACCAAACATTTTCAGATGGAGGGGGGGGGGCACTACAAAGCAAATAATCCTTGACACGCAAAATTAAAAAAAAGTCATCAGACGTTATCGAGAGGACACAAGCATATAGAGCAGCTACGTTTTCTATAGTATACTTTATACCGGCAAAATTATTCGGGAGGCAAACCCCGGCTCCTACGGCCATAGACGAATCTGATTAAACCAATTTACATGAAAGTACAATAACATCAAATAATTTATTGAATATTAATCTATTTGAAATCGAATCGACCATAGTATATATTATATGTAAAGAAGTTTCTGTTCACACTTATTATATTTCCGTGTAAAATGCTATATATAGCAACATACTTAGTCATGATATTATACAGAAAATTTAAGAAAATATTAACTTCCAATCTGTGTCCACGCCAAAGAATTGACGTCCTTGTTACAGTAACCTTGTAGCATCTCTTTCCTTCCTTCTCTTAATAAAATCGAAAACTTTTAATACCATAGTATCATTCTCACATTCTTCAAGCCCCCTAAATGCTGCTTATTAATAATGTTGAAAGCAGAATTCTTAATATGTACAGCTTTTAGGTTATTATGTTGCTCCTTTATTTTAATTCCCTAATGCAGATTTCAGAGTATCACATGCAGAAGCTTTAATTTTAGCAAAGAGGCAAAAAAGGCTTTATTGTTATGTAAATTCCTCTTTGGGGTGGAATTATTTGTATTTTCTGAGAAAAGTAATTATCTATATTACATAATCGTTTGTGGGTTGGGTTGGGGGATGATACTATCCGTATCATTTAGATTTTAGGATTTCAGTTTTTAATTAAAGATAAAAAAGTATATAAAGTATAATCTCAAATTATTCAAATATGGGATTTTATTACTTTATGATTCGTTTCACTATAATATTCATGTGCTTTCCCATTTACCTTTTTTAAATAACAGTTTTTAGGTAAAACTCTAAAAATATCGAAATATAGGTGTTTATTTTTTGTGAAATCCTTTGGGTGCATAGGTTGAGATTCAGTTTATTGCAAAATGTCCCATCTTTGGAATAATTGATTTTGTGGATTTTTTTTCCGATCAGTTTTGTATTGTTTTTTTTTAATTGATCGACCAACGGCCCCAGAACAGGTATATCAAATTCAAATTTCCGCTGGAATATTGCAAAATATTCTACTGTTGATCGTGCGAAATAGAGCCAAAAAAAAAAAAAATGAATAGTGAGACAACTGCTAGTTCAGCTAGCCTATCTATGAAATCCACGAGTAACTGGCAAACAAAGGCTCCCGGTATAAATCATTAAAACTAGTACTGAAAATTTACTGGACTATTTCACCTAAAAATATTGCAAAATGCAAGGATGAATATTACGTATAGAATCATGTTATCATTTTAATCTCTTTGCATATTGCGGAACTCCCTTGTTCTATATTGGTCATTATCCTTGTAAAGTTACGGACATTTAATTGACTATAGTCGATATAGGAGTACGCAAAAAGGTATTAAGTTTGATTTTTGTATTCAGTATCTGATTGAAAAGTATTTGCGAGCTTGTTGGTGGGTTGGTTGGACTGACAACGGATGGAGGGTCAGTCGTGATGATTTATGGTCTTTGAAAGAAGTTAATTGTACTTCGAAAAGGTTCAAAGCGGAACGAGACTCAAACTTAATCTTAACATTTTACTTTATATATCCACCATTTAAATATCAGCTGAATGCAAAAACTGCGGAGAAATGTAAGGGAGAGAGTAGGTCAACTGGCATGGGTTTTTGCCCTGCATGACCACTTGGTGATCTATCATAAAAATGTTTATAGAAAAGACACATTATTTAATATGCATTAACTACAAAACGAAAAAAAAGGATACAGTTCTTTTAATTTTGGTTAAAAATGCACGTATCTACATGCATATCTCTTTAGAACTAAAATCTTTCAAAACTAAAATCGTTCATCGTTCAAACATTCACTTTCATACATATACACATCTCGTATGTGATTTTAAATTTTCATGTTTTCCTCTTAAAGTAAAAGAGGTTAAATATTTGTTATTTTTCAGAATATTCTCAGGTATGGGTTGCAGCGGAAGTTCACAGTCCAAGACGGTTGCTGGGATACCCCCACAACCCCCTTATCACGGTCCCCCCGTGTGAATACGGGATTAAGAACTTTGCGATTGCTTATGTGGAACAATCTAACTTTGCTTTTATGCATACAGCAGACATGCCGTTAATGACATTTGACGAAAAGATTTACAGCCTAGGGGTCATTGCATGACCTTGGATTCCGTTTGTTTACCTTCTCGGTAGTTCCAGCGTCGCTCACAGTCAGTGGCTATGTTACAGCTAACGTCAAGCAAACACACAAGTATCAAGGAATCTGTAGGAAACTGCCCGAGGACGAATTACCCCAGTTATGGTCCCTCAAAGTCGTAAAATCTTATTTGCCCTGGAAAGTCTTTACATACGGAGTGTTTAGATTTGGGTGATGCAAAAATAACTGCTGACGCAAATCATATTTTTTTAACATTAACGAATAAGGATGCAAACGGGGCCAGGCTTGCTCGTGTTGAAATAACGGGGTTTAACTCTCAAAATGTGAAGCAGAATGTTTTTGCTCAACAAGTGCCGCTGCTGGGGCCTTTGGTGGCCAAGGTGCTATGAGCGTATGCTTCTTTGGACAGAGTCCAGACATGAGTAAGTTTTTTTTCTTTCTTTAATTTTTTCATCCCGAGCATTTTGGAGGACATCCAACAAACAACAAACAAAATTTTTTGTTCATCGATACATGTATACACATAATTTTGGGACCATGTACCGTAACTTGTCAAAAAGTATTTATAGTATATATTGTACATACACACGTAGTTGTGTCTTTAGTTCTAGGAGTGGATATCTTCTTTGAGATACCCAGAAACCCCTCGTCAAACCGATATGTATACCAATGTGTAACAATTCCAATGAAAATCACCTGGACAATGGCCATGGCATTGGGAGGGAAATGGATCGTCGAGATGAACTAGGTGGGCGTGACGTCACAGTACCTTGGGACAGGTTGGAAACTAGTGGACGTCTTCATGGACCAAAACAACAGCGGTTTCCGGGATGGATTCTTTACGTCCAAAATAACAGTCAACCAGAACTGCTTTATATTCTTTTTCGAAAAAGAACAATCGAAACTAAATGATAACACGCCT